CATGACGTTCGCAAGTTCGCTGCTCTTGCTGCCGTCTTTGGCAATATGTCTTGGGCTGACATTCAAGCGCGGGGATTTTGGTGGTCGAATAGGGTCTTGGCTGCTTGTTACCCTGTTAATGTCCCTGGGCCCAGTCGGGCCTGTGTCGCTTTGGGTCGGCGGATGCAGCCAGTTGTCTCGACTTAGGGTTGAGTGAGCAGCAACCGCCTCCCTGTAAGTCCCTCTTTTTTCCTCTGTGGGTAGTTAGCCCCAGAAAACCAGCGTTGAATGTAATGAAATGTCATTTTATGGATGAGACCCGGAGGCTTCCCAGCATCCCTCCCTCCCTCTGGTCGGTGTTTTTTGTGTGTTTTGACATCCAGTCTCAGAACTGGGGTGTGGATCGCCGGCGCGGTAGTTCTGGGGCACCGTCTTTCCCCTCCTGGGGAGGGGGGAGGTGCGCAGACAGCGACGCGGCAACAGATGATAACATACTAGTTTGCTTGTTTTTGTTTGGGGAGTTCTATCCACTTGTTCGGCTTTTGGTAGCAATATAAAACCAGAATAAGGGTTTGTTTTGGGATACTTACCTTTCCGGGTGCCTGGCCCAGTCGATGGCAGACATAGAATGCTTCCAACTGTGGTTGGACTTCTATAGGCCATTGCTCCCCTTGCCTCTCTGAGGGGGGCCAGGTTCTGGCCTTGGTCCTTAATAGGCCCAAAAAACTCCATACACATGACTGATGCCAAAGTCTGACATTAGCATATCAGCCTGGATAGCTCCGAGAAGCCTCTGAGTCTCGCCCAGAAAATGGCGTTTCATTACATTCAACGCTGGGTTTTTTGGCAGCTGTTTCCTTAATTTGAACCCATATTCTCTTGTTCTTGAAGTTGCCGTTTTAAAGGATTCTTCTTTGCTAACTTTGGCGATTCCTGTTACAATTTTGTACATAGTGGTCATATCACATTTTTCTTCTATCGTCTAGCTTTGATATTTAACACCTTTAACCTCTTCTCGTAGCTCTTGTTTTTTTTTTTTTTAGTTCTGGAAGCCATTTAGTTGTATGTCTTTGCACCTTTTCCAGTTTATTGATTTGCTGCTTGAGATATGATCACCATACAGTCGTTTCATATTCCAATTTTGGTCTCAAAAGTTGTGAACAGTTTCTTTAAAATTTTGCCATCCACGTATTTAAAAGCAATTTTAACGTTGGAAAGTGTAGCATGTGCTCTTCTCACAATGTTCTTTGGGGTCCTCAGGTGAGAGTTTTTTATCCAGATCTCTCTCTTTATTAGAATTCTTTTAAGCTTTTTCACATAATTTGTAAGATTGTATGTGGCATATTATCTCCTAGACCACATTCCACAATGTTATTTATTCACATTAAATTCCATTTGCCAAGTGTTACTTCATACACATATTTTGTCCAGGTCCATCTTGAAGGGCATGATAATCATCTACAGTTTCTTGTCTTTCCTAATAACTTAGAATCATAAGCAAACATGTTCATATGGTTCTGTATTTTATCTGGTACAGTATATCATTTATATAGATGCTGAGCATTACCGTGCAAGAAATGAACAAATGGTACTGTGCTAGTAACAATTCTCCATTCTTGTACATTGTCTCCGATTGCCACCCAACATCAAAGACAGTTGGAAAATTTTTCAATGTTATTAGCTTTTTGCATGTCACCCCTCCACCATGTTCCAGTTTCCAGAACAATCTTTTTGTTTGGGAATCTGTCAAAAGCCTTTTAATGGCCACATAAATACAGTCAACTCGACCATCTCTTGCCTATAAGATTTCTGTGGCTCTATCATAAAAACTAAGTAGATTTGTGTGTCACAGGTCTTTTTGCCCCTTTGTCTAGACTCTTGGTTGAGGACGAACATTTTGGTTGATTGAGAGACACTGGGTTCAAGCACTTTTTTATACATTTTTACCAAGGTAGGCCTTCACAGCTGTTTTGTGTGCGGAGGCCCTATGGCTCCCTGGCGCTATCGAGCTAATGTGTGATATATTAGATCGGTGCATTAGTCTGGAGTTCAGCCTACCAGGGACCACGAAGCAAAACCTGGTCCCTTCGGAGAGATTTCAGGGAGCAATGGCTCTGGAAAAATCCTCTGTGGTTGGGGGTTTCCTGGCATTCTCGTCTGCTAGTTTCTCGGGGTTTGGCTCTCCATGCAGTTCATATCCGGGGAAGTGTCTATCATCCTGGCAGACAGCCTGTCTCGGTTCACTCCCCTGGCCACGGATTGGATGGTCGACGCCGACTCCTTCCGTTGGCTCTGCTGGCATATGAACTGCCGGACGTGTACCTCTTCGTGTCAGCATGGTCTCTTCTTCTCCTCTCGATCTACAGTATGTGGCGCCCTTTCCCGACTGTGAGGCTGCCGCGGTGGACACTTTTCAGCAGAGCTTGTCAAGGTGGGATTACCTGTCCAGCTGATCCAGCTGTTGATTTGGGTTCTGGATCGGTTCTGGAATCCTACCAAGGGAGAGTAGTCCTCGTTGCCCCTTGGTGGCCCAGCCTTGGTTCCAGGTACTTCTTGCTTGGTGTGTGAACCTGGGACATTTTCCGCGGCTCTACCTCTTCCAGCAGGTCGGCCCAATCTGGTGCATGGCTGGTTCAGTCTTCTCCTCCGCTCTTCGCATCTGGTCTTTTTGACGCGGCTTTATCACCAATTGTATGGTGATTAGGTGGCTTCATTGATGGTGTCGCACTTAAGAGCTTTGTCTCGGTGACAGTATGGAGTTTCCTGGCATTCTTTCTCCCATTTTCTCTCTCTCCGTAGGTTATCTTCTCTTTCTGATTGGGATGTCTTCTCCTTTCTGTCTTGGCTTTTTCAGGACCGTCATTTGATGCCTAGTACTGTCGCCTCGTATCATAATGGCGCTAGCAGAGCCGCTCTAGCTTGCGTTCGGGGTGGGTGTCACTTCTGCCATGTTCTGTAAGCTTTCTTGTGCTTTGTTTTGCCTCCAGCCTGCTCATGCACCGCCTGAGCCATCCTGGTCCTTGGATGGGGTCCTCTTATCTTTCCTCTCCTCGGTTTGTGGTGGCCCCTTTAGTTCAAGATTGTTTTTTCAAGGCTTTGTTTCTCTTGGTACTGGCCTCTGCCTCTGTCAACAATCGGCCTGTGGGTCGGGTCGGTGAGCTTCATGCTCTCCTCCGGCGCTGGGGTTTCTGCTTTTTCGGTCCTAGTGGTTGGTTTATTCAGTTACAACCGTCTCTCTTCTTTTCTGGCAAAGAACTAGACGGCGGCTTTCCAGAGGAGCCCTTAGGTCATTGATGCTTGGTTGGTCAGGGGTGCATCATGTGTTGTGTTCGGTTGAGGCTCTTTGCCATTATCTGTGCGCCTCGTCCTCCATGGCTGAGGATGTGCTTTGGGTTGATCTGGTTTCCCTCATTCCCTGTTCCAGTGCTCGGGGTCTCCCAGGTCATTCGCAGGGTTATTAAGTCTAGCCAGCCTGCGAGCTGTCCTTGTGCCCATGACGTTTGTAAGTTTGCTGCTTTGGCAACATGTCTTGGGCTGACATTCAGGCGTGGGGATTTTGTAGGTCGAACAGGGTCCTGGCCACCCGTTACTTGGTAAACATTCCTGGTCCTAGGCGTTCGTGTGTGGCTTTGGGTCACAGGTTACAGCCTGGTGTCTCGACTTTGAGTTGTGAAGCTCATGTTGCAACCCGTTCTCACACAAAAAGTACCTCAGTTACTTATCTTATGTTGCTCCAGGGAACCTATGGGGCTTCCCACAGAAAACCAGCGTTGACTGTAATGAAATGCCATTTTCTGGGTGAGCCCTGGAGGCTCCCTAGCAATTTCAGTAAAATGGGATTTACTGAAAGACAAGCTAATATACAGGTGGAAAATATTGGAGGGCCAGGTACCAAATCTATACAGTAAAATAACAACATACTGGAGTGAACGATATCGAAGAAAATTCATAATAGAACCAGTGAAGAGCAGGGGGTGCCATAGGCACACAAATCAGAGAATACTGTGTAAACATCAGAGGTCCACGGTTGTTCAACATCCTCCGAGCGAGCATAAAAAAATGTTGCTGGAACAATCGTGAACATCTTCAAGAGAAAACTAGATTGTTTTCTAAACGAAGTGCCGGACCAACTGGGCTGTGGTTGGTATGTGGGCCTGCGGGCTACTCCAAGCAACAGCTTGGTGGATCAAGCTCTCACAAGTCAAGCCTGGCCTCAGGCTGGTCTTGGAGAGACTGCATCCTCACCCGAACTTAGTTCATGTAGCGTGACTCCCCAACCCCAATCGGGAAACTGGAACTTTCGGATAACTCAAATTCGCAAACCAAGTGGCTGTCTGTATATCGCATATAAGTTCAATTGCTCTAGGGAGCCTCTGGGGCTCGCCCAGAAAATGGCGTTTCATTACATTCAATGCTGGTTTTTTATGACTGCAGCACTGCTTTTGGGTTCATCTTCATCTGATTCTTAGTAGCGTTCTCGTTTGTCTTGGAGGAGACCCACTCAATGTGGTACTTATGCTGGTCCTTACTCTGTTTTTCTGGCGGTGTGGTGGTAGATGGCTGGGTGGTGTTCCTAGAGGGTTTGAGTGTGTCTGCTGGTTTTAATGTTTATCCTGTCTGGGTCTGCATATAATTTGTATGGGGGTCCACTTTGATTTGAATTAGAGTAGTGAGCCGTCATTGTATTGTTTTGTTTGTGCTACTTTTGTTTGTTTTATTGTTATACTGTACTGTACTTTTGTTATCATACTGCTTGCAAATAATTGCTTTTACATAGGGTACAAAGAAAATAAATACAGATTGCATAATAAATATATTTGTTATTTTATAAAGGGGATTTAAGACAGCCTAAGGTATCAAAACACAAGTGTGTTAATATCTATCGTTTGTTGTTATTCTCACATTATATATAGTATTTAACTACTGTACTGAATTTGGACTTCTTTACTGATATATCCTTAACATTCTTATTTTAATTTAATAAATGTACTGTAGTTGACGTCCTCTTGACCATCTTTCAGAGCATTAAAAGATGCCGAGAAGGCAATTAAGATAGCACCCCAGTGGCCTAAAGGACATTTCAGAAAAGGCACTTCACTTAGAGGATTAGGAGTAAGTACAGCAAGATTGTATTTGTGATTTGTGTTAAGGACAAAACTAAATTTAAATGAACCCTGAGCAGATTTAAGGTTATTTCTAGGTTTGGATAGTTTTGCTTTGGTTATGTCTACATTTAGAGAAAGAAAATAATAGTAAGAAGATGTATTGCACTGTATATAAAACATTTGTTGATTTTGAAGAGACCAAATAAAAAGTCTATTTAATGACTGTTAGGTCCTCTTATGATGGGGATACTGTACTGTATTTGAAAATTGATATATAGAGATATTCCTTAGTTTTATTTTTAATAGTGATTTGATGCCTATTAATACTAATTCTTATGTTTTTCAGAAATATATAGATGCTGAATCTGCCTTTGAAGAAGTTCTTCGTTTAGACAAAGGTTGTCAAGAAGCTCAAGAGGAAATTCGCAAAGTTAGAATAGTTCGTATTGTTGAAATGGGATTTACTGAAAGACAAGCTAAAAGTGCCATTGCTATATATAATCATGTACAGGTAAGGAAGTGTTAGTGTTCATAGTCTAGGATTATTGAATCCATTTTCATGCATTTGACCCATGTACTTTATCTCTTTTTGGACTCACATTTGTGAAGCGTTTCTTGTTGCTAATCACACTCCACTCCTTCCTCCATAATATTAATTTTGTACAGTAGCAAATATTTGATAACACTTTTCACTGTATAGCTATTACTCTACTTAAAAAATAACAAATAAAAAGGTGAAGGGAGAGTTTTATACAATTTCCTTATACTTGCAGAGTATAGGTTAAAGTTGCTGGTCTCTGGACATTTAAGAAGTTATTGATGTCCTTGGTGGACTAAAAAATAGTTATATTAGGCTTATTACAAATACTCGTCAGGTAATACCTGATCTGAATCTGGTATAGCCAAGGCTGTAATCCCAGTAAACTCATCCCTGATGATGTCAGCTGAATTCTGGGAAGGAACCAATCGGAGGAAAGGCTTTAAAGAGGTTATTCCGTGATTACTGGTTTCATATAGAGGTGTGTCGATGTGGGAGAGTCCAGCTAACTTGAGTCAAGGAGATGCAAGTATTCTAAGCACATGTCTGCAACTACCACTGGCCAAAGTAGATGCAACGTGGTGTGAAGAGCCTGGCTACATTGATTAATGGTGCCCAAATTATCATTGCTATTATTGCCATGAACCAACAATCATTTGTGGGTAAACGGTAAATAATAAGATTACAGTATGTTAGGAAGAAGTGGAACTAGTTCGATTGTAACAATTGCATGGATAGCTGTGGATTGTTCATGACGTGTTGAAGCTGACTTCGTGTTGAAGAGTTCCAGAAGCTACAACACTGTCATCTTCATTGTTAGAAAATTCTTCCTTCTTGTAGTTCGTGAAATACTGGGCAGTCATAGATGCTGCTACCATCAGGGGTCAGCTACCTGAGGTCACATCAAGGATAAGGTGTATATGAAGTCGTGTGGTTGCGAGTAAAAGACACAAGTACTTGCCAGTGATTTTGTATAAACACTGTCTCTCATCTGTGCCAAGCCTTTTAGGCATAGCCTAGTTTGATTCACCTGGCAGCACCTGGACAGGTGGAAGCTGAAACTTAAAGTCCGGAGATTGAGTTCCAAACTCAAACCTGATGTGCCAGCATTGACACATCGCTTCCTAACGTTTAGGGAGCATAACCAAGCAAATATTGCATCAGCCAGAAAAATGATAGGAAGGATTATGAGAACTTTCAAATCCAGGGATCCCATCACAATGGTTGTATTATACAAATGACTTGTACTGTCCCATCTTGAGTACTGCTCAGTACTCACTTCCTTCTTCAAAGCAGGAGAGATTGCTGAAATGGAGGGAATACAGAGAACATATATGGCATACATAGGCTCGATAAAGCAACTAAATTATTGGGATCGTCTCTAAGCTCTCCAAATGTACTCACTAGAAAGAAGACGAGAGAGATATCAAATAATATACACCTGCTTGATGGGGTTCTGGGAGTTTTACTCCCCAAGCCTGGCCCAAGGCCAGGCTTGACTTGTGAGAGTTTGGTCCACTAGGCTGTTGCTTGGAGCAGACTGCAGGCCCACATACCCACATACCCACCACAGCCCGATTGGTCCGGCACTCCTTGGAGGAAACAATCGAGTTTCCTCTTGAAGATGTCCACGGTTGTTCCGGCAATATTTCTTACGCTCGCTGGGAGGACGTTGAACAACCGCTGACCTCTGATGCTGGTTCTGTTTGGGGGACATGGTTTTGTCTGATAAGGGATTTTTGGTCAGTTTTCATTTCCTAGCAGGTGGTGGCTCTGCTTTGCCTGCAGTCTTATCTCCATCTGATGTTGGAGAGGCCCCTGATTACTAGCCTGTTGGTCAAGCGGTTGTGGATAAGCCTTTACTTGCCTGTATGTGTTTTCCCTAGGAAGATTTTGTCTCCGAGTATTTTCCTGCTTCCTCCAGTTCAGCCCTTTGGCCTCTGCTGAGATCTTCAGATGCGAGCTCCATGCCCAAATATCTCTGAGATGTTCAGAAGCCACAAATAGGCCCCTCTTCGCATCAGATTGAAATCAACAGCTTCTTCCCACGTGGGTCTGTTCCTCATTCATTAGGGTGTCACTGTTGCTGCCTGTCAGCTAGACTGGTCAAGGTGAACAGGTCTCAGGTCTTGCTTCTGTTAAAGCCAGGTGCTTGGATGGTGTCCCTGGACCACAGGGATGCATATTGTCGTCGTGTTCCCATTCATCCGGGGTTCAGGGACTTGTTAGGTTTCATGGTTGGGCTTACCGCTTTTGTTGCCTTCCTTTTTTCTTGAATCTGACACCTCGTATATTCACGAGTCTTACCCGGTTCTTAGTGACCCGTCTGCGTCTGCTAGAGGTTCGGGTTCTGGCCTTCCTCGACGACTGGCTGGTGTGTTCTCCCAGTTGGTCTGCTTGTTTGCTCACCAGTGGTGTGGTTCTTTCCCAGCTGCCGGGTTCGGGTTCCTAGTGAACTGGCGTAAGTCCCATCTGGTTTTCTTCCAGATTCGGACTTGGTTGGATCTTGTTTGGGTCTCTCGGACCATTTCCATGTCTGTCCCTCCGGAAGCGTTGCTGTGACTGCGGTCCCGCCTTCAGATGTTTCTGGGGGGTCCCGGGTCACTTGGCAATTGCTCGAGCAGTAGTGTGGAAGTCTGAATTTCGCCATGATGATTTACCGGCATGGCTGGTAAATTTTGCCATGTTGGTTTACCGGGTCACTTCAGCATCTGTTCTGGTTCTTTCGGGGCGCTACTTCCACCTTTTGGCTCTTTTTCATGTCATAATTTTTCCTGTTTCAGTGGTGTTGTCCCTTTTTGTCTTGGCTATTTCTGGATTTGCATCTTATGCCAAATAGTGTACTGTGCTCTTCTCATTCATACTTGGTGGAGCAGCTTTTGTTGGTGTTCATTGTTGATGCTGCCCCAGTGCTGTTTCACAAATTGTCATTGTCTCTTTGGTTCTGAGTTTCTCCTTTGGTCTATGATTTTTTCCCTAGGGGGGGGGGGGGGGGGGGGGGGGGGGGGGGGGGGGGGGGGGGGAGTTTTTGTTGGTGCTTCTAGTTGTTAGGTTTGGATGGAGGGGCTTATGCTCTCCTACAGAAGTGTGGGGCTGTGTTCTTTTGGCGCTGGTGGCTGGTTTTTGTTTGCAGAATTCTCCTCCTTATCTGACTAAGAATGAGATGATTGACTTCCTGAGGTGTCCATTAGTTATTGATTCATGGTTCACGCCAGGGGTGCATAATTTGTTGTCCGGTTGCAGATGTTTACTACCTGTGTGTTATCTGGTCTGCTTTGGGTGATGATCTTTGGGTGATCTTTTTTTATTGATCTGGTTCTCTCCCCTTCAGGGGTATGGTTTTTTGTTCTCTGCACCTGGTGGATCACATTTCTGCTTTTTCTGCTGCTAATTAGCAATAGGAAGCCACCATTGGAGTCCTCCCAAAATTCAGCATTGAATATAATAAAATGCCTCTTTCTGGTGGGTGTTTGGTGCTCCTTGGACCCTCCCTCCCTTTTCCTCTGGGGCTTCAGTTTTGGTCTTCCTTTGGTCAGTGACTGGTGAGTTAGCTGGGAGTGCTGCCACCCAGTAGTGGACAGTTTCTGCTGAAGGGTTTGAATCCTAATTATTGGGTGGATTATTTCAGGGTTTCATTTTCTGTATTGATTACCTTATAGTTTTTTGTCTTGTTTTGCTTTACCTTCCTGGTGGCCTTTTCTCATCTGAGTGATCTAGAATTCTCAGCTCCCTGTGCCTCGGTAAAAGGGGCCAGGTTTTGGTCTCTGGTCCCTGTAGGCTCACAATAACTCACAAGACCCTGGTATGATAAATTTGGGCGAAGCTCTCCAGATGGCTAGCAACAAGGAGCCACCGGAAAGAGACATTTCATTACGGTCAATGCTGTTTATCTGTGGGGAGCCCCTTTGGCTCCCTGGAGCTATCAGGACTAATATGCAGTACATTAGACCTGGGCAATGGAGTTCAGCCTACTGGGGACCACGAGCCAGAACCTGGCCCCCTCAGAGAGGCGCAGGGAGCAATGGCCCTGGAAAACTTCCCCTGTGGTTGGGAGTTTTCCTTATCTGTCATCAACTGGGGTTAGGCACCCAGAAAGGTAGGCATAACAAAACAGATTCCCCGACATGGTAAGAAAATTGCAACCGAAAACTTGGCAGAGGCATAACTCCCTCAATTCCCAAGGAAATGAGCAAACGTCACACCACACCACTCCACTCGTCCACACAGCCCTCCCCTCCCTGGGAGAGGGGAGCCCCGGACCCCCCCATGCCGGACATCTAGCACTCCAGTCCATTGGCTAATGCGATCTGGGGCAGTTGCCAACTCTGTCCTCGGTTTCCTGGCAGTGTTTTGCCTTAGTAGTGTCCTCTGCTGTTCGTGGTGTGGTGGCTAAGTGTACTTAAGTGTACCAGGGTTGCATGCACTTACGATGGCCTTCCCTAAGTGCCCTGTGAGTACTATCCTTTTGTTATGGTGATCTTCCCTGGTGCCTTCGGGACGCTATTTCTGTAGGGGTTTTTGCTGCTTGGCATTTACCCCACCCTTGGGGCCAGCTAGGGTTTCCTGGCCCTTGTTTGGCCTTGGGTAGGGAGTTGTATTGTTGCTGGTTTGGGCATCAAGGTGTTACGCAGCCGACTTACATGTGCAGTGGCCGGTTCCTGTTTCCTCTGTGGACATTGTACTTTGCAGTTTTTTCTTTTCCTTTTTGTTTTGTTTGCCTAGTGGGGGTCTGTCTGGTGTGGCTATTGGACCACTTATATTTTGGTGACCCTCCGCTAGGCCCCTATGATTGTACACATTGCAGGGGTTCCAGTATTTTGATCTCCTCCTTGTTAACTTTGGGTGTAATATGTCGGCAACACCTTACCCAAGCTTCCCATAGCAGTCAACCTACGGGCCCTGGAAAACCCTGTTGGGGCTCGGTGGATATATGGCTGGGTCTTCCGAGTTCCAGCTCGCCTCGTACGAGTTTG